AACTAAAGCTCATTTGGCAAGCTTTAGTTAAAGTGCCCCCATGGCCATTTAAAAATGTGGGAGTGCTGTACTTAATACACAGGACAGAGAGGCAATTCACTCATTTACAGTCTAATTAGAATGTGGAGCAGACTCGATTAATCTAATTAGAACACGAACGGGCAAGTCTGTAGGCAGCCATATTGCTGTGCCATTCTCAGTGAACCAGAACTGACTAGTTTAAGCCCCAAAGAAAGTGATATCCAGTAGGGCTGTGCAAAACAGGTCCTATTCCATTCGGATTTGGCCCGAATCAGGGACAGTGATTCAATCCATTGATCCAGATCACTTTCCCCGATTCGATTTGGCGAAATCCAAATCTGAAGTTTCAATGCTGATTCAGTGAATCAGCGATTCAAACTCAGGCACACCTTTAAAAGTTTTTTTCTACATACCTTAAGGTAGCAATGCGAGTCGTGATCACTGTGGTGCTGGGGCTCATGGAGTGTCCCACAGGAGCATGGGGGGCTTTCCAGCGTGCTCAGCAGTGAACCCAGAAGTACTTCCGGGTCTGCCAGGAGCGCACTGGGTGCCCCCCCGCTTGGCAGTCATCCGCGGGGAGATCCCAGGTGCCCCCCCAGACCCAGGAGGTACCAGTCGCCGAGCGGGGGGTGGGGGGGGCACATGGGGGGCCCCCAGCACGCTCCCCTGTGGACCCAGAAGTGCTGCTGGTCCACTTCCAGGTCTGCTGCTGAACGTGCTGGGGAGCCCCCTGCACTTGTGTGGGATACTTCATATGCCCCAGCATTGCAGCGTTCATGAGCTGCCTGCTACCTTGAGGTACGTAGAAAAAACATTTAAAGCTGTGTCTATGTCCGAATCACTGAATCTGTCCAAATCTCTCCGAATCGATTTGGAGAGATTAAAGGGTCCTCTGATTCAATTCAGATTCAGAGGTTCGGCCGCCAAATCAAGCCGAATCTTCACCGAATCGAATCAGGGACTGAAGCTTTGTACAGCAATAATATCCAGTTCTTTCTGACCAAAAGGATGGGCAACGACTAGAATGTAGGAACCACAATTTCTGCTAAGCAAAAGTGTTCTCAGCTGACAGCTTTATTACTCTACCATTTGCGGTTTGCATCTTAAATTGAATCCATGAGGTAAAAGGCAAGTTTCTTTTTTCCCTTCCCCTTTTCCTCCTGTGCAGATGTTGAACCTGTTTGTGGCTGTAATCATGGACAACTTTGAGTACCTGACACGAGACTCTTCCATCCTAGGACCCCATCACCTGGATGAATTTGTTCGTGTCTGGGCTGAATATGACCCAGCTGCCTGGTATGTATGTAGCATATGTGAAGTACACACGCACACACACACGCACACATGTGCACACGCACACACACGCACACTGTTTTAATGAGAATACAACTCCATGAGAAAAAATTCCAGAGATCAAAGTAACTGGGGCGGTAAATATTACAACTCAGATTCACTGTGCAATTGAGATTAACAAACCTGATGTCATTCCAAGGGAATTTCCTTTTAAAACTGACCTGAGTGAAAAAGAAAGAAAGAAAAAAGACTCTTAAAATTGCCAGATGCAAATGATCCTGGAAAAGGTGTTGATTGTCTCTGAAAATAAAACTGAATCCCTTTGTTTTTTCTACTTTTCAGTAAAAGATAAAAAAGATGTTGAATATTCCACTATCATCAGCAATTTAGATGTTACTTAGAATTAAGATTCCTAAACGTGGTCAAAAAGCATCTTAGTTATGTAGCTGTTGTTTAGTAGCCTGGGGGCATGTCTACATGTGATATTAGTGCAACACTAATCAGCTTAGTTCATTCCAGGGTTTATTGCTCCCAGGCTCTGCATTTACATGTGCGCCTAGGATCATAGCACATTGAGCCGGGTCAGAGCAACCCCAGCTGACAGGGGGCTTGGGTGATCAGCCTGCCAGCCCAGGGCAGCTCAGGCCTGGCTCAGCGTGCTGCGGAGGGACAGGCTGGGGCATGAGGATGCTTCAGTGTGGGGCTAGCTGGCAAGCAGCCCCTGGATTGAAGCACCCTCGTGCCCCAGCCAGCCATGTTAGTGTCTACACGTGCATTGTGGTGCACCAAATAATGCCGCTGCAGGATAGTACTTGTGTTGAAAGTACTAACCTATGGTGGAGTTGATTAGTCTACTGCGGCCTAGTAGCATTGCATGTGTAGACACTGAGACTTTATGGCGGAGCAACTCCGCAGTAAATGTCTCATGTACATGCGCCCATAAAGTACCTTAATAATTCTGAAAGAAATACAGTGCAGAGTGTATATGTCCTCAGGTAACAAAAAACTTGTGATGCCTTTCTTTTCACATTTCCCAGGTGCCATTTCTCCTTAGAAAGTGTGGACATGCTGCTCAACAGCACTTTGAGTCATCATTTACACCTGCACAAACCAAGTGTAGAATGTTACTAAACCAAGATCATCCATTCATTTACATCTATGATAGCATCTTATACCTACTTTGTGCAGGTGGACATGAGTACCCAAGATACAAGGTAGAGTTAAGTGATATGAGATTGTTAAAATAGCAAGGGTTTAGGTAATATATATAGTTTAGATCAGTGGTTCTCAACCAGGGTTCCACATCACCCTTAGATGCCATGCAGGTGTGAGGAGATAAGCAGATCTGTGCAGGCTCAGGCTTGCCCCTGTCTGGCCAGTCCTTCGCCCCCATTGCCTAGCCCCTCTGCAAGGAGGTAAGCACTGGAATATATAAATTCATTTTTGAAATTGGGAAACATGCCGTGAGTCCAATGAGGAGTGCCTTGAGTCCAAAAAAGGTTGAGAACTACTGGTTTAGATATATAGATCATTTTCATTTGGAAATTGTATTGTGATCCTAGAAACCTCCATCTAATGACCTCAAGTTACAGATGAGAGAGCTCTGATCTTTTCAGGAATATGTTGGTAGGTGGATAATGGCTGAAAGCTGAGACACATAAAACAATGATGAGAGGGACAACAAACAATAAGCCTCAGTTCTTGGAGCCTTTCAGTTCTCAGAGAAGCTCGAAGAAAATGCCCTGGATGTACACACTTGCTACAAGAGAGAGTGCTATTCTCCCAGCTAGGAAGTGAGTTTCCAAATGAAAGTTATCTTTGTTCTTATTATTCAAAGACAATAGTGGGAAAACCTACAGATAATTGGCTGCAAACCTATAAAGTCCCACGTGGCAGGAAACTCTGAAGTAATAGGAGGAGAAGAATATGTCACAGCAGACCAAAGAGTCAGAATGAAAATTGTAGAGTATAAAATGATCTGAGAGTTTGCTTTGGCAAAGTTGTCTCGTTACCATTTCTGAAATAAGGTTTACTTTAAAACATTGTATCCAATTTAAGGGCGAAAAGCATTCTGTCAAGTGTAGCCTCTGAATTTTGCATATTACTTTGTGTTGCCACCTTTTGAAGGCACAAGACAGTTAGTCTCTGCAGGGAGCTATAAAAAGATAAAGACCTATCTAAACCTGCATAAATCTTAATGCTTTACATGCTCTGAGGTACAAGCAGAATGATTTCCTTCATCTTTTACGGGTTGGGGAAATTGTACGTGGGGCCAAATATTTTTTTACAAGCTCTCACCCCTTTGCCCCCCTTTTTTTCCTGCCTTCCTCCCAATAAACCACCGTGCAATATATTTCCTGTAAAGTATCACTCTCTGAAGAATAAACGTCATTCTTGTATATGTACAAAACTGATTATAAAATGCTGCCTCCAGGCAATTTAAGCTTTTCACTTTGTTTGTGTTCCCTCCCAACTAGAGATGAAGATGCAAGAGAAATATGCATAAACAGGGTGTTAAACTCCTTAGCTGGGATGCTGTTAAGTTGGTACGAGTCACTCCTAACCTGATTTTCTTCAATGCAGTAACACTGATGCTTGACTTGATTTATCTTAATATTAAAAAGACTTCATTCAAATAAATTGTGTGTACTTTACACCAGATTAACTGCATCCATATTGGGAGCTTGCATCTCTATAGCTAGATTTTAGTGAATGCAGGATTTCTCATGCAGGCAAGTCTTTATTGAATGTCTGACAACCCATAAGTAGTTCTTTTCTTTGGTCAATCCAATCCTTTTTCTTACATCTGACAAAATAATTCAGAGACTGAAAATGTGGGAATATCCATTCTCCCTTTAATAAATAGACTTGGCTTCCATTAACCTCAGTGAGGGAAATTGCCTGTATGCAAGAGAGAATAAATACAAAAACGCTTCTCTTTAGATTCCGATTTTGAACCCATTGTGGGGATAAGGAAGATGCTAACTGAATGATCTGCTCAGTCTTTTTTTTTTTAAATCATTATCATATAATAACAGGGGTTGGCAATGTTTTCTGGCACAGGGGCAGGAATGACCCAGCTTGGGTTAGAGATAGGTGGAGCACTTCTTAAGCACGGGCATTCATCCTGAGACCCACTTCTAGTTTAGGGCTCAAACAGACTATTAGTTCATCTGGTCTGATCTCATGATGCTACACAGAATTACATTTTGTCCATTTACCTCTGTATTTAGCCCAGTGCTTTGCATCTGGCTACAGCTTTCAGCCATTAGTTCCTGCTGTTGCAGTTCTCCATAGTACAGGTATTTACATGACAAGTGGAATAAAAAATAATCAGAATAATATAATTGGCATGGAACAAGGCAATATAATTGAGTGGTTAGATCCAGGTGACCTGGATTATATTTCTGCTTCTGTCACTGACTAACTTTGTGACTTTTTAGCAACTTCTGCATGTTCCAGTTTGTTCCCTGTAAAATGAATACAACAATGCTTATCCATCTTGGTAAGCTATTTGAGATCCTCAGATGAAAGAGGCAGTGTGAGTGTAAAGTGCAGATATTTGCTATGTGTTTGGTATATGATTAACATTTTAAATACATACATACATACACACACACACATATATAGATAGATAGATAGATAGATAGATAGATCAATATTCAGTGTCAACATATTTTTCTTGATTATGTCCAGTTTTTATTAAACCTTCCTGGGAAAACCTATTCAAAATGTTGAGAGAAGAGTTAAAGAGGAAATATTCAAATTGTATTTTTGAAAAAAAATATTGTGCTAAGTAGTGGGTAGCTATGGTAATGTTTATGGATTCAAGGACTGTAAAAACATCAGATATCAGAGAGACGGGGGAGAGAGGGAGAGAAAGCTCTAAAACCTACCAGCTTGGTCCTAGGGGCAATGTATTGCATGTAAACCAATATTGAAAAATGTCAATCTCACCTTAACTATCAGCCAAGTTTAATCATTTAAAAGACTATCACCCTTGAATATTGGATTTTTGTCCTTCCTGTTTTCTTTAAAAACATATAAAGAAGGGCTGAAAGGTGCAGTATTTTTATCTTCTAAAAAGTCTTCTCCCTGAGTTTATTTTTTTTCTTAGAAATATTAATCATGTTGGGTCTTGTCTTCTTTTTTTAGCCAAATGCTTTCTTGAATGTCTAGAGATATGTTCCCATGATTATTTGAGCAAAATAATGTTTACAAAAACGAACAAAATAAAAGAGCACTCAAAATACTTACAGATTTGAATAGTTAAAAAAAAAAAGTCTCATCCTCTGTTCTCTATCATGGTTCATTGCAGGGGTATTTATCAGAAATCTGTTGGCTCTCAAGTCATCCATATAATCTCCTAGGACTGACAAGATCTGTGGACTTGTCTCCACACACTGTTTTTTAGAGGTTTAACAATACTGGTTTAGAAATATTGGTAAATTTACTTAAAAAACTTAGCCAATATAAATACTTCTTTATAAATTGGGCCCATAGAAGAGGTTACACAGAGGTGTAACAGGAAAATAATGCACCTAGGCAGCACACAAGGTGAGCAGCAAGCCGTGGCATGGGCAAAGTGTGTTATGGAGCACAAAGAGTTCTGGGAACTGTAATCTGGGAAGACTAGCAAGTATGGCAGAAGGCCAGTTTGGCTAAGCAGGGAACACTTCAGTAAGGTAAAACACAATAAGGAAGTATAGGAGAAGTGGAAACGTGGACAAACAAATAGGGAGGAGTATAAGAGTATTGCTCAGGCATGCAGGGATGAAATCAGGAACTTCAAAGCACAATTAGGGTTGCAGCTAGCAAGGGACATGAAGGGTAGCAAGAAAGGTTTCTACAACTATGTCAGTAACAAGAGGAGGATCAAGGAAATTCTAGGTCCTTTACTATGGGGGAGGCAACCTAGTGACAGAGAATGCAGAAAAGGTTGAAGTACTCAGTGCCTTTTTTATCTCAGTTTTCACAGGCAAGGTCAGCTCCCAGACTACTGC